GGGCCTCTCACTGTTGTGGCCTCTCCCGTTGCGGAGCACAGGCTCCGGACGCGCAGGCTCAGCGGCCATGGCTCACGGGCCCAGCCGCTCCGCGGCATGTGGGATCTTCCCGGACCGGGGCATGAACCCACGTCCCCTGCATCGGCAGGCAGACTCTCAACCACTGCGCCACCAGGGAAGCCCTAAACATTAACTTTTATTAAAAGATAAATTTGATCTATTTCAGTCAATTTGGAATCATCTTACTTATTTGTCACATCAATGATTCAGGGCTTATAGAAACTAAGAGATTTATACCATGAAGCAAAGTCAGTTTTAGATTTTTCTATGTAAGAACTTTGATGAATAGATTTATGACTCACTACTTATAGTTAATGTTTAATTTTATATCCTCAATATCAAGAAAAATACAAGCTAAGTAGAATATTTAACTTAGTTTAATACAAATAATATCTTACCTGGGTTCCTTGACATGGCTGAAACTGGCTGCGAGCTGACAAGTCCGGTCATGTAAGCCTTCTGAAAATTGTATTTCAACCACAGTGATTTGCAACAATTTGTTACTTTGGGAGAGAGATTCAGAAGTTGTTTACGTTCACAAACAATGGCATCATGTTTTTTCTTCTTCATGTTTTTTCCCTGTTGAAAAAATATATTTTCAGAGAATTTCCCCCATTTCTCAGTATATATTTGGTATGTTAGATAAATAGTGATGTTGTAACACAGGCAGTCTTTATTCCGTATATGAAAGGGTTTTGGATTTGGGTGGAAAATGGAACAGGGTGATCTCTAAGTTCTTTTTCAACTTAAGTAAACATCTTTCCATGTTGTTTGGTCTTTAGATCTGCTACACCACCCTGCAGCCTCATCTCCCAGCAGTTTTTCGTCTTTTTTTTTTTTTTTTTTTTTTTTTGCGGTGCGCGGCCCTCTCACTTTTGTCGCCTCTCCCGTTGCGGAGCACAGGCTCCGGACGCACAGGCTCAGCGGCCATGGCTCACGGGCCCAGCCGCTCCGCGGCATGTGGGATCTTCCCGGACCGGGGCACAAACCCGTGTCCCCTGCATCGGCAGGCGGACTCTCAACCACTGCGCCACCAGGGAAGCCCCGTCATCTTTTTAATAGCTACATTCCGTCAAGGGAACAGTCTAAATTAGTACACATAGAAGAAAAGAGACAAATTAGAAGCCAAAAGAAAAATAGATTAAAAAAAAAATAATAAAAAACCTAGGGACTTCCCTGGTGGTGCAGTGGTTAAGAATCTGCCTGCCAATGCAGGGGACACGGGTTCGAGCCCTGGTCCAGAAAGATCCCACATGCTGCGGAGCAACTGGGCCCGTGCACCACAGCTACTGAGCCTGCTCTCTAGAGTCCGCAAGCCACAACTACTGAGCCTGTGAGCCACAACTACTGAAGCCTGTGTGCCCTAGGGCCTGCGAGCCACAACTATTGAGCCCGCATGCCACAACTACTGAAGCCTGCATGCCTATAGCCTATGTTTCGCAACAAGAGAAGCCACCACAATGAGAAGCCTGCGCACCACAACGAAGAGCAGCCCCTGCTCACCGCAACTAGAGAAAAGCCTGGGTGCAGCAATGAAGATCCAATGCAGCCAATAAATAAATAAATTTATTAAAAAAAAAAACCTAAACAGGTGGGGAAGGCTGGAGATGGAATACATTCTTCGTCCTATTTTGGTGTATCTGTGCGTGCATGAGTTTCCTCCCCAGAATGATTCTTGTATTCCCTCTTTAATCCTCCATAAACACACAGTCCATCTCTACAGACACTAATGAAGGCTATTCTGTGCTCAATCCTCCCCCTTTTTTCTAATATTGAAGTGCCAATCCAATAATTTGAAGAATTGAAGATTTTCATTGTCTATTAGTGCACTTAATTATCTTATTCTAAAGGTTGGCCACAGAGTTACACTTGCTATTTTACCTTGTAAATCTAAGCAGTTACCAGAAAGTAAAGGAATGGATGAGAGGTCAGACCATAAAAAACAGCTAAAGAGGTAGCAGGATAGGTCTTCAGGAGCCTCAGATGAGTACTATCCAATAAAATTTTGTGAACCACATACGTAATGTTAAGTTTTCTAGTGGCTACATTAAAAAAGTGAAAAGTAACAGGTAAAATTAATTTTAATAATATACTTTATTTAACCAAATGTATCCCTAAATAAATCCCAATGTTATCATTTCAACAGGTAGTCCATATAATTATTAATGAAATATTTTATATTCTCATTAATGTAAGTCTTCAAAATCTGGTATGTATTTTATACTTGCAGCACATCTCAATTCAGACTAGCCACATTTCTGGTGCTCAGTAGCTACATTTGGCCAGTGGCTACTGTACTGGACAGTAAATGCAATAAAGCGGTATTGCAGCTTTAGAGGAAGAAGCAAGAATTGAAAAGAAATGGCTTTTAGAGAAAGACAATAAGCAGCTGTCTCAGCTAGAAAAACCAAGGTAGGGGAAATCATCAAGTAAAATTCTGATTCATCATTTTTCAAATGTACCACATTTTACAGTGTAGAATGCTATTACAAATTTTGATTATTGTAATTTGGGCCAGATTAGGAGAGAGGGAGTTGTGGGATGAAGGGTAGTGTGTGCCTGGGCATTTTTAGTGCCTTAGGCTGCCTGACATTTTAATTATACTCATCAGGCAATCTTCTAACCTTAATTTGATTTCTCAAGTAAACTTTTCAATGGGAAAAGGATATCCTCTACAGCAAATGCATCAGAACCAGATCAGCCCTGGATAAAATTCTTAAATTACTAAATGGGCAAAGTTGACAATCAAGATGTAGTTTCGGGGCAAGAGTCTTACTTGAAAGAGCTTGCTGACAGCCTTACCCATCAGCACATTGTGAAACTGTCATTTTGTACTGGGTGTTCACATGACATTGCTAGATAACTGAGAATAAAATATATAACCATGGTCTTTTTTTTATTAATTAATTTATTTTTAAATTTTGGCTGTGTTGGGTCTTCGTTGCTGTGCGCGGGCTTTCTCTAGTTGCAGCAAGTGAAGGCTACTCTTCGTTGCAGTGCGCGGGCTTCTCATTTCGGTGGCTTCTCTTGTTGCAGAGCACGGGCTCTAGGTGTGAAGGCTTCAGTAGTTGTGGCACGCAGGCTCAGTGGTTATGGCTTGAGGGCTGTAGAGTGCAGGCTCAGTTGTTGTGATGCACGGGCTTAGTTGCTCCGCGGCATGTGGGATCTTCCTGGACCAGGGCTCCAACCAGTGTCCCCTGCATTGGCAGGCGGATTCTTCACCACTGCACCACCAGGGAAGTCCCTAACTGTGGTCTTTTTTTTCAGAAATTGACATTTTAAAAAATAAATTTATTTATTTTATTTACTTATTTTTACGCTGGGTCTTCGTTGTAGCACTCAGGCTTTTCATTGCGGTGGCTTGTTGCGGAGCATGGGCTCTAGGCGGATGGGGTTCAGTAGTTGTGGCACGTGGGCTCAGTAGTTGTGGCTTGTGGGCTCTAGAGCGCAGGCTCAGTAGTTGTGGCACACGGGCTTAGTTGCTCCGCAGCATGTGGAATCTTCCCAAATCAGGGCTCGAACCTGTGTCCCCTGAATTGGCAGGTGGACTCCCAGCCACTGTGCCACCAGGGAAGTCCCTAACCATGGTCTTTTAATATAAACAATCGAGAATGTTGGACTTTATTTTCCCCAAATAGGTTTGTATTTTAATACAATTATTACCAAACAGTTCTACAGGATGTTATGAGATATTTATTGAAAAATAATCAATGCTAATTATACAGCCATCTTTCAGTATCCATGGAGGATTGATTCCAGGATCCCCCTTGGATATCAAATCCACAGATGCTCAAGTACCTTACATAACATGGCACAGTATTTACATATAACCTATGCACATCCTCCCATATACTTTAAATCATCTCTAGACTACTTATAATACCTAATACAATGTAAATGCCATGTAAATAGTTATAAATATAATGTAAATGCTATGTAAATAGTTGACAGTCCACAGCAAATTCAAAGTGTTGCTTGTTGAAACTTTCTGGAATTTTTTTTTCCCGAATATTTTCCATCTACAATTGGTTGAATCCAAGGATGCAGAACCAGTGGATACAGAGAGCCAACTATATTTTTCATCTAAAATTTATTTTTAAATATATCTAAGAAAAACACTATGCTCTTTTATATAGTTGTTAGTATAACTGCCTTTAGAAAATGCTGTGCCTACCTGAAAACTTTAGGAAATCCCAGGATTCTCGAAAGCATAATAATGGGAGACACATGGAAGCCTAAGCAATCATTGAGCTGATATATGTTGTCTATTTAATAATCATTGGTTTATGTTATTAGGTATCTTATTTCAAAATATATTTATGATATTTTTCACTTAATAAAGTTGTTTTATCTACTTTGTTTGGAGGTTGTTCTAATATAACGTTTTAAATATATGTGAGTGAAGTTTTTATCATTTCTTGCAGCAACGAATTCATCTATGGATTCATATTTTGCTGTCTATGTGTGGTAAGCTGAATAATGGTTCCCCCAAAGATGCCCACATCCTAATTCCCAGAACCTGCAAATATTTTCCTTTACGTGGCAAAATGGACTTAGCATATGTGGTTAAATTAAGGCTGTTGAGAAGCAGAGATTATCCTGGGTTATCTGGGCCTGGCCTAGTCATATAGGTCTTTATAAGAGGGAGGCAGGAGAGTCAGAGTCAGAGAATGAGATGGAAGCAGAGGTCAGAGTAATCTGAGAAAGGGTCTATCATCAATTCTCGGCCTTTTGGCTAAGATCAAGTGTAGAAAGGGTCTATGAGCCAAGGAATGCAGGCAGCCTCTAGAAGCTAAAAAAGGCATGGAAACTGATTCTCTCCTAAAGCCTCCAGAAGGAATGCAGCCCTGCCAACTCATTTTAGACTTTCAACCTCCAGAACCATAAGATAATAAATTTGTGTTGTTTTAGGCCACTCAGTCTATGGTAATTTGAAACAGAAGGAATAGAAAACTTATAAAATATGTTATTTGAGCACAATATTGTATTATTGCCAGTACATGATAATTTAAAAAGTGTTCATTATAAAATAAATTTGCGAGATGGACAAGAGCCCATATTATAGTGTTTTCATATCAATAATTAGACAATTATAATAACTAGGATTGTTGAACTCTAAATAACTACTTATTGGTGGCAGCAATACATTAATTATTAAATTATTTAATTTATTTAACATTAATTTATAAATTAAGCTACAAATCTTTATAGCGAGCAATGTATGTTATCAACAATGAAAAACATATATGGACCCCCTACTGAATACCAGGCATTACCCTAGAAGCTAGCAGTTAACAGGACAGAAATGGTGCCTTGCCTTGTGGAGGTGACAGTCTAGCAGAGGAGATAGGCATATATACTAATTAGAGTCATGGCAGGTATTATGAGAATCTCATGGGTAGTGTACCTAACCTAGTCTGGGTGGTCAGGAAGGATTTATCTATGAATGATGTTTAAACAGGGACCTAAAAGATGACTTGGAATTGGCCAGGAGGGAAGATGAGGGAGGGGAAAAGGTCTCAGAAAGCTGGGATGTAAAAGCCCAGCAGCAGTAAAGAATTCAAGGCATTTGAAGAACTAAAAATAAAAACAGTGAAGGCTTTTCAATTCAGGGTAGTTGAGATCTTCCCCACACCACTTCCCTCAAAAATAAAAAGGAGGGAAAAAAACCCAGAAACACAAATTTCATCTTTATTGAACTGGTAATCACCCCAAACTACAATGCATGAAAATGGAAAATGGATGGAGGGTGATAAACGACTTAGCAGACCCAAGCAAGTTCACATCTAAGTGGTGGGGAAGACACAACCAAGGAGAAGCAAGGCAGGTCACCAGAAGGGA